CAACTTTACAGATCTTCTTTATGCACCAAGAGCTTGTAACACTCCAAAGAGAAAGGAAAAATTGAAATTGCATCATATGACCCCTTTAAATTTAGTAATTGAAATAGACCAGCATGCACAGTTGAATATCCAATATCCCCCGATATGGTAGTTAAAAAAATATCAGCCTGTGTAACCTATATGGTACTATATTATGCATCCCTAGCTGAACAAATCGTCAAATCTGCCAGAAAATTTAATAAATATATACTCAATTTGATGGATTGGTGTTTAAAGTCTTTGAAGACATTTTAAAGATTCAGTCCAAACCTAGTGATTGGATATATTGATTATTCCAGATGACATTTCTGCTTATGTCTTGTCTATATTACAGTGAATACTATGTGACGATGGTGAAGTGGGCCACAAGCACGAAACTGGCTGTAAACTGGTTGAACCGAGCCCAGAATATCTCCATCCTGACCCTCTGTGTGGCCACAACGGGTGTCTGCACCAAGGTACTGTATACCTCGATTTGTGAAGTATATTCCAAAGTGAAGTGTAAAGGCTCACACTTCACAAGGAAGGTAAAAATGTGCAGTACAATGAAGCGACCGTTTCACAGCATAGTTTGATTCTTTTTTCTTTTTTAAAACCAATGACGTGCATTCACATGAACAGTGCTTTAATCGCTGGAGGTTACTAGGTCATAGTATCGTTGATTGCTTGTAAGCGTTCTTACTCGACTGCGGTGTTACTCTGTTTTGTTTCGTTAAGAAAAGCCCAACCCACTAAAATGCAGGTAAATCACATAAACAAGTAAATAAACATAAACATTAACCATTTGCTAATAAATTGTTAGATTTAGAAGTTTAGTAGAGCACTTGAACACTCTGACTGAGCGTTTGAGAGTTTAACTCGCCATCTTTAAAGTGCACTATTGCTATTCGTATCAATGGATGCACCACGTATTCTGACGCACCGTAAACTTTTACTTTACTTTTACTTTTAGTCATTTAGCAGACGCTTTTATCCAAAGCGACTTACAAATAAGAAAAAGTAATTAAAACTAAAAACTAAAACTCTATAAATACTATATATATACACATTTAAGAAAATAAAATAAATTAAATAAAAATGACAAATGCATACAACAACATTTCAAAACTAAACATTTAAATGAAAACAAAAAAATAAAGCTAAAAACAATTCAAAATATTAAAAGAACAAACGGTATGAGTATAATAATGATTCTAACATAACACTAAGCCAAACACCAAAAAAAAAACAACTACATATGTGTATGTACAGCCACACACACATACATATACATGTACATATATATAAATACATTCAATATATATATATTATTTCATTTCCATTTTGTATGTTGAGGTACTGAAATAACTCAAATTAAATAAAAACTAAAACGTAATAAAAAACCTATATAGACATAATAAAAAACTAATAAAATGACAACATTACTACAACTGTAACTAAAACTAAAATAGATAACTAATACAAATCAAACTACATTAGTTTATCAGTAATCCTAAAAAAACAACACTGAGCCAAACACACATGCTAAAATAACAACAACTTTTTATTGACACATAGTAAGAAATGGTTATTAAAAAAAAAAAAAAAGAAGTGAAACAAGAAGTAGGAAAGAGGAGAAATAAAAAGCAATACTTATCCTTTGCCGGTGTCCTGCCCGGTGGAGTCGCATGGTAGAGTCGATGGTCTTTACACTCTTCGGTTTTCACATGAGGAGGCCTTCACACGACCGCAGCCGAGACCGCTTCCGCGGTAAACTAAGCTTAACTCTAAACTCTAAACTCTAAAAAAACTAAAAACTAAACTCTAGTGTGTAGCCACTCGAAATTGCTATGCTGAGAGCACTCTTTTTTCCTCGCATGCGAGAGAGAGTGTGAGAGAGTCATTGGCTAATGCCCACCTATTTCCATCCCTGTTTTGATAAGTTGTGAATGCAGACAACATAATTAAATATTCATTACCCAGCAGCTCATCAGACTTTACCATGACCAACAATGTCTCAAGCACCAAGACCAGCCTGTTAATATGCTAAATATGCAGTCATACATTTTTATTCATACATAGTCACCACATTTTAGTTCTAATTACTAAAGTTCTATCATTAAAAAAAAAACTCTTGAATTCACTGATATTAAAAGTGTAATTGTTATGCTTTCAGATCATATCACATATGAATGTATCTTAAAAAAATAAAAAGTTGTGCTATTTTACAAAGATAAGCTGATGTGGTGGAATAATACATTCCCAAGGTGTGAGCAGAGGGTTGAAGCCTAGATTTCATTAAATTGGACTAAATGAGCCAAAAACAAGGGTAACACTTTATTTCGATAGTCCACTTTAGACATTCTATTAACAGTAAGTAACTTTGCAACTACATGTCAACTAGTAGTTAGTAGAGTATTAGTAGACTGTCTGCTTAATATCTTCTAACACTTTCTTTGTCAACTTATTCTACTAACCCTAAACCTACCCTAACAGTCTACTCTGAGAGTTAGTAGACATGTAGTTGCAAATTAATGAGAATTAGTTGACATGTAGTTGACATGTAGTTACAAAGTTACTTATAGTTAGTAGAATGTCTAAAGTGGACTATCTAAATAAAGTGTAACCAAAACAAGATTCTGCACTCTTATGATGTGTCACTACATTTTTTTCAATGTGATTTTCTGTTTTTTTGTTTCAGAAACATGAGGATGAAAGTGAAGGGTGGCTGCACAGACAGGTGAGTATTAACTTCCTCCACCCAAACAAGGGCAAAAAAAAAAAGAGATGTGCCATGTCAGTGTTTGTCAAAGGTAACAGCTTTGAATAGTCAAGGTTTTTTTATGTTGTTTGTCTTATCACATTCCCCACAGTACCGTGCTTGAGCTGATATTGTTTTTCCTGATTAGTTTTTCATGTCTGTTTTTCACCAAAGGCAGGAATTGAAAATATGAAACGTTTTGCAATAACATGAATAAAGGATTGTACGACTCCTGCAGAAATAAGCTTGAGGGCTCAAACTCACTAATACATATGCGCTGCATCATCATAATAATTCACATTCTAATATAAGTTGTTATGGTTTTAGTATTTTTGGTGTTGCTTGGAGAAAGAAATCCGCTCTGTCCTGTGGACACATTCTTTAGTGCTCCCGCAGGTCTTATAATTCAGTAATTATAAAACTCTGTAGCTCAAACCAAATGACGAAATACTGCCATGGGAGGAGAACATCATGATGATGACAGTAATAATGGTGCTGGTGTGGCTGTGATGATCGTTTAGAGTTACATTTCTGAAACAGGATGAAGAGCCGCTGTTCTCTAAAGACAGTCTGAGGCTGTTCTTCACCAGAGCGATCCCACAGGGAGGACGAGGGAAGTTCTTCCACATCTCCATGTCCATCTCACAGGTACACGCTTCAGCAACTTTTTGATAAAAGGCAACTGTGTATTTTCAAATATAAAGAAATTGTCATGGATGGTTCATGACAGGATAGTTTAAGAAGTATCTTTATTATGCAAATCCAAAAAACAAATATATATATATAGTATATATATATAGTTAAATATATTGATTATTATTTTATTCACAATATTGAGTTCCATTCAGTATGATTGATGTCTTTTTAATATGTTTTCTTCATAAAGCCCAACAGCAGCACAGATACTCTGCAGTCCATCACATCAGGAGACTGGGATGTCACGCAGGTTCTTGCGTATGATGAGGACAGCCAGTTAATGTGAGCCAATTCACCACCACCACAAACTGAAAATCAATGACTCATTTGATATTAAGAATTGAATTAATTTTAAGGCAGTATGAAATCAAAACTGACCTAAATTACTTTCTCAATTCACATTTTTTCTGCCTTAATCTCAATGCATCTTTGGTGCACATTATACCAAACAGTTTTTTTTTTCTTTTATCAAAATGTAATAACTTTCTCTACCTCTGAAATTATTTTCCTCTCACCTGATGTTGTCAAGGTCTCTTATTTTTAACCTCACCACTTCAACCACCTGCTTTCATTCTCATATGAAACACTCACTTTCTTGATTCAGTCAGTACCCTGGACTATAATGTAAATCTTTCAGTACCATGGTATATGTTTGTAACCAAACAGCTGTCGGTTGCCATTGACTTCCATAGTATTATTTTCAGTACTGTGGAAGTAATTGTACCGTTCAGCAGATCGGTTACCAATATTCTTCAGTATATCTTCTTGTGTGTTCAACAGAAGAAAGAACTTTTATACTTTCATATCTTAAAAGTATATTTAAAAGAAAAAAATGTATATGCAGATAATGAAATAAAAGGCCACTTAAGTTTACTTAAAGAGATTACACTTTCATGACTGTTTCTTAACACACTTATAGTACATTTGCTAGTAGCATCCTAAAGCAGATGTAAAGTACTTAATTATAAGTACTTATGTTATAATTTTATCTGTACTGTGTTAATACATATAAAGTTAATATATATTTTAAATGCACTAAACTGCAAATTCAGCATTACAAATGTGTAACTTAAAAAAACATATTTAAATACATGGCATACAGGTTTCAATAGAAATTACATTAAAGTATATTTTAGTTTATCATAAATTAATGTCAGTACCCTTTGACTGTATTTTAAAACAGTAGTTATGAAATGACATAAAAAGATGTAGTTAAGTCATACTTAAGTGGGTCAAAAAAAGCACTCTCAGCTAATTGCATTTAAATTTAAACTATAATACAAATTAATTTTAATTAACAGGCAAATAGTGTCTGACAACATTCAGTTCTCACTTAAGATCATTAGTAAATTTATTATTATATTGTTTTTGTATGAACAGATATTTCCTCAGTACTGAGGATGACCCTAAAAGAAGACATCTCTACAGGTACATACAGCACATATATATTCGTGTTTTGTGCCGTGTGAAGTTTGGCTTGTGCCGTCACAGGCTTGTTCTCGCTGACAATGTTAATGTGACTGTGGTTGTTCCAGCGCAGACACGGTGGGCACCTTCAACCGCCGCTGTTTGTCCTGTGATTTCACGGACAGCTGCGGGTACGTCAGTGGCTTCTTCTGTCCCAGCATGGACTACTTCCTGCTCAACTGTAAAGGTAGACAACTCTCTGTTTCTATTTTGCTTGTTCTTACTATATATTTTTAATACAAGGGTATAGTATTGTTACTTATTATGCTTTATTATTTTTTTTAAATGTACCACGGGTATATGTGCAAGTAAAATAACATATGTACATATATGACGTTAAGTAGTAATTAGATTTTTTTTTTTTTTTGTAAAAAAGTCAAGAAATACTTGTGTAAAATCTTTGTTTGGCTGAAAAGTTGAGAATTGAAATGAGTCTCTGAACTCACCATAACCCTGACAAATTTTCAATAAACGCTTGTGAGTTGACACTGTGGTGAATGTCGAATTAGAGCCCATGAACCTTTACTTTTATATTGTCTCCTAACAAGTTTTATGATGAGTTCAGTGTTACGCAAGACAAATTAGAGAAAGGGATGAAGACGGTGAGAGTAGACGCATTGTCAAATAGTGTGTTGTTATTGTTCAACAGCAAAGTTTTCATTCTGCTAAGTGCATTGATTATTTGGAGTGCTTGTTTCTACAGCAGCTGAGGTGTTCTGAAGGCTTGAATGCTTGTATTCACTGAACCGTTGTGACAGAACTCCTGGAGAAATGACGATCAGTTGTGGCACTCGTTAAATTCACCGCAGACGTTCATAACAAAAGCTTTTATGCACCTTTTTCAGTTTAGTGGCAGGCTGTCTATAAAATAAACTTTAGAGAACTTGTAAAATGACTTAACTGATGATAAACTGCTCTTGAAAATTGCTAATATGTACAGTTGAAACATAAGCTATGATGTAACAATACATAACAATAATGTACCATCAGTTATGGTTATTAGCTTTGGATAAGAGAATCTGCTAAAATGCATAAAAGTAGTTTTAAAAATTGTTTTGTTATTTATTTATGTACTGTATGTATGCATTTAGTAAGTTAGTTTTATCTATAACTTTATTTTTCTTAGTTATCATATTATATTACCTAGTAAGTAATTGCACAAATTTCCGTAAGAAGAATGTTGATGTGAGGTATCATGTAGCACAAATGTTACAGAATGCATTATGTGCCAAAATGTTAAGGTTTTGTCACATTTAGTGTTGCTCAGCGAAATTGAGCTGATGTATGTTAAATAATGTTATGTTGAACTGATGTATGTTAAATAATAATAGTGAAAAAAACATGATGTGTAGTCAAGTATGGTGTCCCATACTCAAAATTTGTGCTCTGCATTTCACCCATCCAACTGGACTTCCAACCCTCAACTCAACCCTCGACCTTCGGGTTACAAGTCTGACTTTCTAGCCATTAGTCCCCAACTGCCAAGAACATACAAAGAATGCAGAGCAGTGGGTCCCCAGGACTGGAGTTAAGAGCCACTGCTTTAGGGTTTAGGGTTCGTTTAAATTTTTAAAGGGATAGTTCACCTAAAAAATCTAAATTCACTGTTAATTTACTCACCCTCAGGCCATCCAAGATGTAGGCAACTTTTTTCTTCTGTAGAACAGTAAAGAAGATTTTTAGCTGAAACCGTGGTCCTAGTGATTCATAAAATGCAAGTCCATGGCTACCGTCACTTTGAGAGTCAAAAAAGCATATCAATCAACACAAAATGAATACCCATGGCTCCTGATAATATATTAAGGTTTTATGAAGTGAAACGATTGGTCTGTGCGTGAGTTTGTTCCTGTATTATTGTGCTTCAGACTCTTGTGAACATATTCAGGACTTTTTGCTTGAGGATATGGATTATAATGTTGTAACTATTGTTCAGTTTCTTGCATGGACCGATCGTTGCACTTTGCAAGACCTCAATATATCGTAAAGAGCAACTGTATTAATTTTGTGTTGCTTGTATATGCTTTTTTGACACTCAAAGTGACAGTAGTGTAATGACTTGATTACTTAAATTTAATTTGTAAGGGAATTAATTATTATTATTTCATTCCGGTTTTGAGAGGACTAGGATCTGAAGATGCGAAGTCCACCTGATTAAACCGATTCCAAATTTAAATGGTTTACACTCTATCAGCTACTCGGCCAGCGAGAAGTTAATGTCAGTGTATATTACCAATTTGAATATCTGTATTCTCCCGGCCACGGTCAATACAGTTATTATAAGTAAGCTATTATAGTAATTATTATAAGTAAGCTACGAGCTAGGTAGCAAGCAAGGGATCTTTTTGGCAACAGTTTAATTTTAAAATCACCTGAGAGAATTACACAAAGCAGAGAATCTTAGCTTATGTTTACTGCTTAAAGTAGCTCTACACCAGTTCAGCAGAGATAAGATTTTGTTCGTTTAGTTTCAGACAGGGCAGGAAGTAGGTGGTCACAAAACATGTGACAGTCATGCATAGATATTCCGTGCTTGCCGGCCCGAGGGCGTGATTAACATAGCCGCTTCCTGTGCATACATATAATAGTTCTTTTCATTGGATCACGAGGCATCACGCGGTATTTTCAGTCCTCATACAAAAGATTTCTGTGGCATCTCTTGATTAAATTAATCCGGACCTCATGATGGCTGATAGTGGCATATCAGGGTCTGTTCATGATAGAACTCCCTACAGTAGCCATGGACTTTTATGAATCACCAAGAACCACAGTTTCAGCTAAAACTCACCTACATTTTGGATGGCTTGAGGGTGAATAAGTTAACAGCAAATTTGTATTTTTGGGTGAACTGTCTCTTTAACCCTAAGTATAAGTAATAGTAGTAGTGATGCTTGACTTTGTAAATGCTGATAATATTTACAAATTGGTCATCAGAGTTCAAGATCAAAATATATATTTGATCCAGTTGTTGCAACAGTTGATATGTGCAGTTTTATTTTATGAGTATGATGCATGAAGAGTTTATATAAAACATTTGACAAGAAAGAAGCATTCTGTAAGACACAACACATTAGCTACACTCCCAGCTGTGAGAATGACCTATTTACAAACAAAAAATAACCTGCATACTGTTGCAAAGCATTTGTTCAAACTATGAAAAACAATGAATGTCCTGTGTCATTAATTATTGATGATTATCTTGGTGTGTTGTCAGGTCCTGATGTTCCGTATGTGTCGGTTTACAGCACCCATGACAGACAGAGTGAGTATCCAGCCTCCCTCCTCTCTGTATCGTGGGTGTGTGTGTGTGTGTGTGTTTGAGTTCTGGATGATCTACTGTGTCTTGCTCCTCTCATTTGACTGCTAAACACTGAATAGAATGCACACACACACACACACTGGCCAACGTTTTAGGAGCTTCATATCACCTGCATGCTCTCTCTGTACTGCAATGTATGGGTTACCCAGAGTCCACAGGGTCAGTGGAAGCAAGTTTGGTGAAGAGACTCAAAATTGACCATGCATGAGCAAAGTTTTCAGGTGTCATGTGCCATCAGAGCAAGTTCCATTGAGATTAATGCATTTCTACAGACTGTCACTGATGAATTAATAATCGTGAAAAAAAGTGAGCGACGTGACAACCAAGTATAGTAAGTTAACCCATACACTGAATTTGTGCTCTGCATTTAACCCATCCAAGAGCACATGCACAGCAGTGAGTAGTGAAGAGAGCAGTGGAGAGACATTTTTGCTGCGGCGCCCGGGAAGCAGTTGGGGGTTCAGTGCCTTGCTCAAGGGTAACACCTCAGTCATGGTATTGAGGGTGGAAGAGAGTGCTGTACATTCACTCCCCCTACCTACAATTCCTGTCAGTACTGAGAATCGAACTCACAACCTTCTGGTTACAAGTATATTAATATAGAAAACAGTTATAGAAAATATATTAAAATAGAAAACAGTTCTGACTGAATCCAATATTTTGAATGGTCAATATAAATTATAGGCAATCATTAGAAAGCAAGTACAATAACATTGTAGTGCATGTCAGTGGATGTGTAGTAGATGCAGGGCACACCTGATTAACCTCAATCTCATCTATGCCGTTATCATCCCTTCCTATTTTGACTTCTAGCAGGTCAAGAAGCTCTTTTTTATAAGTGGACCATTTATCCTATATTTGTGGTGCAGCCAAAGTGCAAACGAGGGTGGCAAAGCATAAGGAAGTCCTCGGAAAAAGTGTGCCACAAGATCACAATTCATTTTCGGTGAGAAGGTCAAATCAGAACGAAGAGTGGGCGCAATTCTGCGAAACTGCCAGAATGTGGAGCGAGCACCTGGTGTAGAGAACACTGCCCTGGGCGACTGCCTCTATCGCCTACTCCTCTAAGTTATTTAATTATCACAATTCTTTCATTTTCTACAGTAATGGAGTCATATTTCATTGCTGGGTCATTTCTACAGTTTGGTGGATTTGTTCCCCATGAAGCAATATTTTACATAAAATGTTAATCAGCTTTCATGCCACATGGTTTTCCATGCATAGGTGTTGACACAAATTTATAATGATTAGTACCCCCAATGAAAATAATTTCTTTGTGTCTGGATCATGGCTTATACCTTTACATCATTTAGTATACACGGACCATGAATATGTTAACTAGTCCCCACCTCCACTCAATCACGCCAGCTCAAACCTGTTCCACTTTCACTTTTTAAGTGAAGTAGTAAATGCTACACAATGGCAAGTGGTAATTTTGGATAAATGGTTATCAGAGAGTCAATTTATTTAAATTCTAAATGGATTATTGCCTAGAAAGCATGCAAAGAGCGCTCCCCTTATAATCACTAAACAGCCGTCACTCATAGTTCATCTCACAAAGTTCTGATATAATCAATGAAGTTCTATGCTGCACAATTTATCTCAAAATTTAGATTACTTCTACACTTTGTTATAACAAGAGGATTGGTGAGTGTGCATAACTCAGTACTGGTTTTGAGCGGTGAGTGGATTTTGACTTAATCACAGATTAATCAATAGATATATGTGATTGGCTACATTGTTAAATGCAGCAAAAATATGTTGTAAATAAAACACCTATAACAAAGTGGAGATAATAAAATGAAATGTCCCACCCTGTGTCACGATGCACACACACGAGGAACGAGGAGACGCTGGAGAATACTTTACCAAGACTTTATTTTCAGGAACCAAGGGAGACGAACACAGGAAGACCTTTAACAGCGGACAGAGAACTAGGGACTGGGAACACTTTATATACACAGACACACACAGGAGGAGGGGATGACGAGACACACCTGGGAGCAATGAAACATCAAGGGAAACACCTGGGACAAATGAACTTAACTAATCATATGGGGTCTGGGCTCGCCTGAGCCAACGCGATAAACATCGATCGTTCCTCCATTTGGGGACGTGGAGGAACGCACGGGAAGAAACACAAAACAAAAACTTTCAAAAAATGGAAATCAAAACGGGGAGAGGGGGTGCTGCTTACTGTTGGGTCCGCTGTTCTGTCACGATGCGCACACACACGAGGAACGAGGAGACGCTGGAGAATACTTTACCAAGACTTTATTTTCAGGAACCAAGGGAGACACAGGAAGACCTTTAACAGCGGACAGAGAACTAGGGACTGGGAACACTTTATATACACACACACAGGAGGAGGGGATGACGAGACACACCTGGGAGCAATGAAACATCAAGGGAAACACCTGGGACAAATGAACTTAACTAATCAGGACAGGAACAGGAAACTAACCAAATAAGGGCATGGGAAGGCACATGGGGAGCAAGACAAACACAAAACATGGAACAGAGTCTGACACCCTGCAAGTTGAGGATTGGCGGGATTGGTTACATATTTGTGACACTAGGAAACAGGCACGGTTTCAAACCGCATTTTTGTGACTGTCTTTGGTACACTGCAGTTTTTAAGAGAAAATGCTCAGCAATGGTGTTGAAATTGCACATGGTTTGTATTTAAGCATATTAAGAATCCAGACAGAAATGCAAACAACATTAAAAGGTAACGCTTTAGATTACAACCCGCAATGTACTGCGTAAGTAAACAGAATTTACAGCGTAACTATTTTGTAATTACAGTGTACCTATTCAGTACCTCCGTGTAACATTTTGCTTGGAATTAAACACTCAAAAGAAAAGTGACAAGTTTAGGAAGATGCATTACCAGACTCTGCGTTACATACTGACACAGCCAGACTCAAACACACACACACACACTTGTCTCATTGCATTATATACCCACAGCATGTCAATTGACGATCAGAGCTCTTCCCAGGCCTACCATAGACTGTGTGTGATTAAATAGCTCTACACATGCCCGCTTGCACAGTGAGAACACTTACAGATGATTGGATTATTGCCAGACGTGCCATGACTTCCATGAAAACGTGACCTCTCTGTGTTAGAGGCTTGTATTTGTGTTATTATGTATATAATATCCTTTAAGCCCGTCGATATCACAACGAGAGTGTGATTCAGTGCGACAGTCCATCACAAAAGTCCTCTTACAGAGCACACATCTGTGTGTGTGTGTGTGTGTAGAATGTTTAGAAACGCTGTTTGTTTACAATTTAATCTAAAGTTCTTACTCTGCCATTTCAATTATTTTTTTTTTTTTTCATCCATCCCCTTCTCTGCCAGGTCCATTCAGTTCTGCCAAATGTGACACCAAGGTCAAATTCAGATGACTTAACACGGCGCTCATATGGATCCTTTTCCGTATTGACATAAAAATCGTTGCTGTTTTTCAAATGTGCGGCTATGTCAATAGCATTGGTGCAATGGGAGCAAGTGTGCTTTGTGGGGCTTGAGTCTGAGCAGGCACTGATAAGCCTGTCCTAAAACGAAACCCTCAACCGCAGTGTGCTCTTAATTGTTACGTGCACTTCCAAGATTATCGCTGCTGCTCAGAATGGAAGGTCTCCATGTTTACAGCAGCAGTCATGATATCTGCTCTATTTAGTCGCTCCCTATCAGAAAAGCCAGCTGCTCACCGGTCTCTCACAAGCTCTGAACATCTACAACTGTTAATCCTGCAACTGGTTCTCGTTTATGTCCCAGAGCAATTAGCTACTCATTTCTGCAGGTTTGAGGAGGTTTTGCTTGTAGATGCTTAGTTTGAGATAAACAATGAATTATGCCTTGACTTGGTTTATTTCTCCCCAAAATTACATTTCTGTCATTATTTAGTCAATAATTCAATAATTATTCACCCTCATTCCACACCAGTATAAGTTTCTATAAGGGTTTTCTATAAGGAGATGTTTAGCAGAATGCTCACACTGCTCTTTCTTATTAAAACATACTGTACACTAACCTGGGATATCCCAGAAAAAAAAAACTCAAAGCTAAGCTCAATCGACAACATTTGTGGCTTGTATTTCCTTTTATTTAACATAAAAGGAGGTTACTTAAAGTAGAAGTAAATGGGGCGAATGTTTGACACACTTAAAAGCATAAATGTGAAGCTTATAATTTTATAAAACCATTTACATTAATCTTCTGTTAAAAACACCAGCTACAAATTCTTTCTTGTTATTTTTTACAGCCATTTTAAGATTTTAGGCATAATGTCATGGCAAAATAGAGATATATTAGACATAATAAAAGTTTAACACATGCATAGACAATTACACATCTAACACAGAAACAATGGAATTAAATGAATATCAAAATAAGAGTCTTTGAACAAAACTAGTTGTGACAATATTATTGTAACAGTGAGTATTTTATAAATTAGATAAATTGGCCCCATTTACTACCATTGTAAGTGCCTCACTGTAAGACAGATTATTGCAATGCACAAGTCTACATTTATTTGTGATAATCAACATTATACCACAAGTGTTGCACATATGGTTGTTGGTGCAAAGTGTGAAAGAGATTTTGGGAGCTATAATGGAGGGCAAGATTTTGGAGTGTGAGCAGCATGAACATTAAGCTAAATAACATATTTGTGGTTTGGAACTTTTTATTTTTGGGGTAAACTGTTCCTTTAAGGAACTGTTTTTAATTACACGATTGGTTTCTTTCTTTCTGCAGAGGTGCGTGACATCGAGTTGAATCGGAACTTGAGGAGAATGGTGAACTCGATGCAGATGCCGAAAGTGGAATACAGAAAAATAAACATAGAGGATTACAGTATGTTAACTAAATCGTGTTCAAATGCTGGTGTTTAAGAAGGATTGTAACATAATACAGATGCAGGTGAATCTCTGATTGTCATTCACAGGCCTCAGCATGCAGATCCTGAAACCTGCAGGCTTCATAGACACCTCACACTACCCACTTTTGCTCCTCGTGTGAGTAAATATCAAAATCTGCAACATTTTCTTCATTTTCTTACAGGCCCTTTGCCTTTCCACACAACATCACACACAGCCACAAACAAACTTTATGTTTTATGCAGAAAAATGTGTCAGTTTCCCAACAGTTTCTCTGAACTCCCCCATGAACCTCCATCTGGGTTTAATCCCTCATTTAAAAAAATAAATGAAATAAAAGTCATAATATACAGTTTTCTTGCATGTTATTATTTCTCTGAGTCTGAGAGGTTTGGTGGGTTGTGGTCCCCCTCGGTCCGTTCGCGATCACGTCCCGGTTCACCGCGGGGCCCCCTCAAGCGCGGGGTCCGGTGCGACTGCACCAGTTGCGCCCCCCTAAGGACAGCCCTGGAAATGAATAACGTCATGCCAAGCTGCTGAATATCAATGTCATTTAACATCGTTGAGACAATTTATAGTCATTTTTGTAATTAAGTTTGAATACATGGTCTGGGGAGGAAGCTTTGATTCATGAACTTTAGAGTTTGCCTGTAGAACATTGAGCAATATTATATCAAAGAACAAATCCTGTTTTCCATGATATAAGCCCTTTAAAGCATGTGCTGCAGGTCATCCTATTAACTCACAAACCGCAGTTCCTCTCCCGCTCTCTGTTCCTGCGCTGTGCTTCAGGTCTCATCAAGAGTAAGAGTGTAACTCTCAAATGGACTTTAGTCAGTGCTATTAATCTTGTCTTTTCAGCCGTACACTTTCAGCCACTGTAATTACACCACAAATGAGTTCACCTGCAGCCCGCCTTCAATTAACCCACCGCACACATCATACGTACCACAGCAGACAATCACCTGTGCTCTCTATAGAGCCACCAGAGCAGTGAGTCTATATAGTGTGTTAGGAATATAGTGACTGTCTCAAAACCCAGTGAGCTGCTTACCTACCTACCCTTGTAAAAAAGTGCACTTTAGCATACTAAATAATACTAATACTAAATAATATACATTAAATATAATGGTAACACTTTAAAGTAAGGTTCATTAGTTAACATTAGTTAACTACTTTAGTTAACATGAACTTAATATTAATTTCAACATTTACGAATGCATTATTAAAATCAAAAGTTGTGCTAGTTAACACACTGTTAATTAACATGAACTAACAATGAGCAACTGTATTTTCATTAACTAACATTAATAAAGATTAATAAATACTGTAATAAATGTACTGTTCAAGGTGAGTACATTTTCAGCTAATTTTTCATTTTCATTGAAGTAAACTACAAATATTTAATATTATTAAGCAGACTTCTTTTTCACAAGGGTAAACTGCATTTTTGGACATCATATGCATCTGATTCTGCTAGTCAGACTTGGAACATGCCTGTGATGTTGCAGAATGTGGCAGAAAGCTTACTAAATTTAGAGACAGTCATTATGTCCTAGCATAACTTAAATGTTTGCATTGGTGAGCAACTGATGTAATGCAAAATTTCTCCAAATCTGTTCTGATGAAGAAACAAACTCATTTACATCTTGGATGGCCTGAAGGTGAGTACATTTTCAGCTAATTTTTCATTTTCATTGAAGTAAACTACAAATATTTAATATTATTAAGCGGACTTCTTTTTCACAAGGGTAAACTGCATTTTTGGACATCATATGCATCTGATTCTGCTAGTCAGACTTGGAACATGCCTGTGATGTTTTAAAAGAATATATACTATAATTATACACCCACAAATGTAAATTTGCTGAAAATGTACTCAACCTCAGGCCATCCAAGATTGGGAGAAATTTAGCATTACATCAGTTGCTCACTAATGGATCTTCTGCAGTGAATGGGTGCCATCAGAATGAGACTCTCCTTCTGACGGCGGCACCCATTCACAGAGGATCCATTGGTGAGCAACTGATGTAATGCTAAATTTCTCCAAATCTGTTCTGATGAAGAAACAAACTCATTTACATCTTGAATGGCCTGAAGGTGAGTACATTTTCAGCTAATTTTTCATTTTCATTGAAGTAAACTACAAATATTTAATATTATTAAGCGGACTTCTTTTTCACAAGGGTAAACTGCATTTTTGGACATCATATGCATCTGATTCTGCTAGTCAGACTTGGAACATGCCTGTGATGTTGCAGAATGTGGCAGAAAGCTTACTAAATTTAGAGACAGTCATTATGTCCTAGCATAACTTAAATGTTTGCTTTCTTAGGAAAACTTGTTTTATTACTCTCTCTCGCACTCTCTCTCTCTCTCTCTCTCTCTCTCTCTCAGAGATGGGACTCCAGGCAGACAGTCAGTCTCAGAGCAGTTCCACATTGACTGGGCATCAGTGCTGATCAGCAATTTTGGGGTGATTGCATTGCGCTTTGACGGTCGTGGAAGTGGCTTCCAGGGGACTAACTTACTCCATAAGGTGCAGCGCAGGCTGGGAATGTTCGAGGAGAAAGACCAGCTGGATGCCCTCAGGTAGTTGAGCAGCCATCTGCGTCCAGCACACAGTGAACATCCATCAGTGCCAACACACAACTGTACACGCAGACACATGTGCTGCATCTCCTTAACTGCATTGCAGATCTACAGCCATTTAGAATACCACAGTGTGACTTAAAAACTCAATGACATGACTGATACTGATTATTCTGCATGTGAGAAGGTCCAGCAAGTGTCAGACCGTTTAACACTTTGTCTTTGTGTCTGGCAGTATTATGATGCAGGAGCCTTATATTGACAAGACCAGAATTGGAGCTTTTGGGCAGGTAAATACTTAACTGCATTTTACTGTTATTACTTGTCTAGATAAAATACCTTGTCACACACACACACACACACACACATATATATATATATATATATATATATCACATTTTGAGATTCACACCGAGTACAACTGAGAGACACATACGCAACTATTACAAAAGGTTCAAATGGTCACTGATGCTCCAGAAGGAAAAACGATGCATTAAGAGCCAAGAGCTTCGCGTCGGGTGGTTCTTGGCCTCCTCGTCGTGCATTAAAATCGTTTAATGCACAGCTAGCCGTGCATTATCCCTTACATATAGGGTAACACTTTATATAGGGAACCCAAATTCACTATTAACTATTTATTGGGTTGGGTTAAGAGATCTACATCATGGTCATACAGAATAAGGTGTTAATATGTGCCTATAAGTACTAATAAACAGCCAACATAGTAATATGCATGCTAATAGGTAACTAGTTAATAGTGAGAATTGGACCTCAAAATGAAGTGTTACCATATATAGTATACATTGATTTTATTTCAGTTAACTATCATAATGCTGTTTCAGGCTTAATAAACACTAACAATTCATACAACATAAATTGGGTATATTTATTGGTTGACATTTTATGTGGCTTAAAATTGTATGTTGTATATGTCTAGGTTAAAATTGAATTAGGAAGGGAGAATTAAATGATATTATGGATATAAAGATTTTGCTTGCTTTTTGCAGTTCAGGAATGTGTGTGAATGAGATTTTGTCAAAAGGCTGCCTTTGCTGCTCTTTTTGGAGCAGCCTTCATATCAAGAACATACCTTACATTGTTATCTGTGTACACTCTTAAAAAGAAATGTTCTTTATTAGCATCTATGGTTCCATGAAGATCCTCTAACATCCATGGAAACTTTCCCTTGGACAAAAGGTTCTTTATAGTGGAAAAAAGTTGGTTACACTTTACTTGAAGGGGTGTGCATAAGACTGACACGACACCTTCATAATCATGACATGACACCTACATTGAATTGACAGGACACATTATGCGAATATGAAGGTTTTTTATGCATGTTTAATTCGCTCAGTATTAAGTGTCATTCGCTCAGTTATGTAATTTTTAATGCAAAGATGACATTGTCTGAGATGTCTGTTATGGGCTATGGTTAGGGGTAGGGTTAGAAAAAAAAGTTCCTGATAATGCCACATTTTCTAGCACTGTGCATGGAACTCTTAGTCTCTTTGTTCATACAAGAACCATTTTTTTCATAATGAAGAACTGTTCACTGAAAGTTTCTTTAGGGAAACAAAAAATTGTTTTTCTATGGCATCACTGCGAAAACACCCTTTTGGAAATGTTCATTTTAAGAGTGAAGGCAGCTCACTAGGTTTTGAAACAGAGCTACACTGTCAGTGTGACCCATCCAACAGCATTTCTGATAATGAGAGAGTCCACAGAGCCTGTCTGTATTTTGGCACGTCAGTTAAACTCTTCCACTCTCACTAACTTCAGTCCTGAAGAGGAGCAGAACAAATTGGTTTCATGCAGCGAGAAGAACTTAATTGAGACCATCTACATTTCTGGCTACATGTTCGTTTTTGCCCGTGCCTATTTCTTTCCTCGAAAGATTGTCGTTTTTCAAAGGATTAATGAATGCATGTTCAAAGGCTGAATTCCTGCCTCACTTTAATGAGCACAGACCGTATCAGAAACTTCTGTAACTAGTAATGAGAGTTGTGCTATCTCAGAGGTCCAGAGTTGAGTATTTTGTGTTTCAGGTGTATGGAGGTTACGTCACCAGCCTTCTGCTCAGCTCTGAGGACTCCGTGCTCAAGTGTGCTGCAGTGCTCTCGCCCATCACAGATTTTGCACTATATGGTAGGGTTTGTATATTCTATTCTATTATTATTCTATTATTAAGGGATTCATTAATTTATAAAGGAATTAATTAAAGGATTTGAATGGATGGAGGACTTCTCGACAATGCATGAATTACATGAATGAATTATCTAAGTTTTTCTATTCATAATAGTGAAATTTGTCAAAAAAAAGCACAGTAGTTTACGTCACAGGACATTATTGTTGGTCAATTAATATTCTTTAGGTAAAACAGTTGTCAGATATTACATATTTAGCTGCTTGCATTTTACCTCACACTCTTTCACTGTTAAAAACTGAAGCGTTGTGCTGGAATTCAGTATCTGCTAACAGTAAAATCCACATCTTTTTTTATTCGATTGGCCATCTCAATCATTTTATCATTGAAGAGTGCTGTTAGCCTAAAAATATAACTGGTCACACTTTAGTTTAAGGTTCAATTCTCACTATTAACTATTAACTACGACTTTTGCCTCAATAAACTCTTGCTGTTTATTAATAGTTAGTAAGGTAGTTGTTAAGTTTAGGTATGGAGAATGATTACGGGATCTAAAATATGGTCAATGCACAGCCATTAATATCTGCTTTATAACAGCCAGTATGCTAGTAATATTAGGGATGCACCGATACTGGTATCGGTATCGGGCCCGATACTGAGCTCCTGTACTCGTACTCGTACTCGTTAAAATGCCCCGATACAAAACACCGATACCACACAGCATGTGATAAGCGCCATATTCAGACAAAGAAACACCGACAACAGAACAACAGACAGCATATCTTTAAAACGTTAGTCATCCTAACAACAAATAGAGCAGAATCAGTATTAAATATTAGGGCAGACTACAGCTCCGCAGAGAGGAGAACATAGATCTGTTTGGGTGTGCATCTGATCTTCAGATGTAGATATGAATATCTCAGTAAGCACAAGAAATCTGTTGAAAGGATTTGAGCTTGTTACAGCAAATGACTGTAAAAAGAGCAGATTCACATGCATTCTAAATCAAAACACCTGCTGAATGTCCTTTTAGCATCCAACAGGGAACATTTTACAAATGTTGTGTGGATGATAAAATACCAAAAAATCGCAGATGTTGGTGTGATATCAGGAATGGGAAATGTCATCAAATTTTTGTCCCACCCCAGCTTTGTCTGATTGCTTCTCCATTGTTGTATAATTGCCTTTATGCATTGAGGTGACAGATGTGCTATTTTTACCTTGACGCAATATCATGAAAATAGTGAACAATTTGTGAGATCAGATGTGATGCAAGATGTCACCAACAACTGAACCAACAATTAAAAAAATAGCAAGAATGCATCCTGTGTGAACGCCTCGGAGGAGGAGGAGGAGTGTCCGATTCATCATCCATTTCTGTAGCTTCCTGTCTGTGTGTGGCAGTGGATCCCATCAGTATTCTGAGAGCAGGCAGGAGGACTGAAGCACTCCAAGAACTCTATAGGAACAGAGGGGTGAAAAATGAAGCATGTGCGTGTTCATCATAAACAATACTTGACCTCTCACAGTGGCAACAGCACAGAAATCTGCTCATAAGTCAGTGTGTATTGTGAAATGGCCATGCAGTGATTTTTATCAAAGGAAATGCTCGGAAATGAACTCTGCCTGTGACAAATGTCACTGATACCGTTTTTATTTCCTGTTTTCAGCTTCAGCGTTCTCAGAGAGATTTCTAGGCCCTCCCAAGCCAGATCGGAGGGCATACGAGGTACACTTCCTTTGATAATCTGTATTTTGTATTCACCGTTACTGACAACACTTACAATATACTCTTTAATATTTCCGCAGATGGCCAACCTTGCATACAGAGCGTCCCAGTTCATCGATAAGAAGTTTTTAATCATTCATCCTACAGCAGATGGTACATTTCCTTTCTATTTCTTACAATGTCTTTGTAAAAGAAATAATACTGTCAACTAACACGCATCTCATTTACCTTTTAGAAAAAGTTCATTTTCAGCACACAGCCAAATTCATCTCCAGGTTAATCAGCGAGAGAGCAAATTACACTCTGCAGGTAAGAGATATCGAGAACGTTAAAGGGGTCATGAACTGGCTTTTTTATTATTTATACTGTTTTCTGAGGTCCACTTATGGCGTTCGTGGGGTTTTTACATTCAAAAACATCAAAATCAATAAGTAATAGGCTATTTTCTACACTGGTTTTCAGGCCGGCTTGAGAAACGCTCGGTTTTTATGGGTGTGCTGCATTGAAGACTTGGAAGTAAACGCCCACTGCTATGATTGGATAACAGTTTTGCATAGTAAACTAACTACAAACTAACTTCGTAGTTGGTGCCTTCTGTGACTTTGGTTAGATACATACACATAATCAAGCGATCTCTAGCAAAGCAATAGTGACACATAGTACAAATATTTTTTTGGAAAAGCTTTTATTTCAGTAACAAGGACATTTTCAGTTCTGAAACTTACAGGATATTCTTTTAGTACGATGACCTCTTTTATATCAAAAACTCAAGTAAAAGTTGATTTCTCAATTCATGACCCCTTTAAGAGAATTTCTTAGTTTTTTTAGTTTTAGAGGCCATTCACACAGAATGTGTTTTTGTGTTGTGAGATGGAGGGCAGTGGAATAAACTCAAAAAATCTTGAAACTTGTTTTTTAAAAGTTGTTCTAAAAATTTCAAAAAAATGCAGCGCTCATGCTCTAAATGCTGGAAAAGATTTACATAGAAAAACAATGAGAAAGCAGCAAAGAAGAATGTAAAAAAATTTTTTAAAAAAAGTCTGAAAACAGAAAACAGTCATATCATATTTTTTGTTACGGTTAATGTTTCAAACTGTATTTCCTCACATCAGGATGTCAGCTGTATTTATTATAATTTCAAATCTAAATTTCCATTCGTTTGTAAAATATTGTGTAATTAAAAAATAAATACTTTGATACTCATTTAAGCTATGATTAAGTTTTATTTGTGTACAGCCGGTTGAACCAGCTCCCTGTTCGTAAGCAGTTTGTTCTCAGTATACACTATTTTTTCTCAGTATACACTATTTTACACTATTTTATGTTTTTAAGCCACAATGTTATTTTAATATCATTGAGAGACTATTATATGAATTATAATTTTTTTTTATAAATATTTAATTCTAATTCTAATAATTCTTTATTTTTAAATTTTAAGTAATTTTCTATTTTTATTAACATTTTTAATATGTCTATAGTTTTATAATTTTTTATTTTAGTCTTAAGTATTATTGTACATCAAGTTAAACTAAATGAAAATGAGTTGATTCCTTGGCAACTAGCTGCAATAAAAATGTATATTTTTAATATTTTTATTTAATTATATAAATTATAAATTTATAATTTAAAAAAAAATTATGGTTTTAGTTTTAGTTAAAGGTGCTGTATGTATTTTTGACCGTGCTAAAGCATATAAATACCATAATATTTTTGCAAATATTTAGGAAACATGCTAAGTACACATGAAGAACAATGCTACAGCTAGTTTTTCTACTCTGAAATGTGTTCCGTGTCAGAATGTCTGTTTCCAATATTTTGAATTTGCACTGCAGTATCTATTTCAACCGCTAGCTGTCAATATTACATACTGAACCTTTAACTATAATAATTCACCCTGTGCAGCAGTGATTGTTCGCTTTTACAGCTGCTTTGGTTCCAGAAGTTGTTGTTGTTGTTTTTCTATTCATTTTCAGCAGAGCGTTTTCAAAATATTCTTCTAGTTCTAATCTAAATGAATGAATGATGAATCACAACATTGCAAACTTTGATTTGAAGAAAAAAAGTATATGAAAATAATGAAGGTTTCATCCCATAAATATAATCAATAACGATTATAATTCGAAAAATAATCAAAGAATAAAAACATTTTTGCAAAATACACAGAGAATCAAATCATCAATCAAATTAGATTAATCACAGAGCTTCATGTTTCAAGTTTGCTTCAAGATTGTGGTTGAGCATTTTTGCCATGAATAACATTCCATGGTAACATCGACTTCTCTAATTGGTGGAATTCTCTTCAGGATTAGGGGTATTGTAGTTCTTCACTGGAAATTCCAAATTTAAATGGTTTCTTTTTCTACACTGATTTGTTCAGAGTTCACTTAACATCCTCAGAGTGGATGGCAGTAAAGGTTTATACATTATTGTTAATCAGTTTCTCTATGGAGTAAATGAATGGGGGTTTAACTGTATACCCTGTACACCCTGCATCTCAGCCTCTGCGATCAGTCAGCAGTGTGAGCGGCTGTTGCCAGCAGTGGGATTAGACACACTCAATGCATGCAGCTCATTTAAACAGATTATACAGGCCACTCTCACGAGCCACACGTTGAATAATCCCATTATATTCCCACACTAGGAGATTTTCTCTTTGCTTTCTGGTCCCTTATGGATTTGCTATTAATTGCTGGCTGTTGAATGACTGTGGAATTAATTAAGGCAGTTATTCATCATGATGTGTGTGATCGTCGCTGTGTCAAGCTGTTCTTCTCAATTTATGATCTATTAGGAAGGGTCAGGGCTGCCACACACACAATAAAGTTTCTGAATGTTTACACATTTGGCTTGATTGTTTTGTTCAAACCCATGGTTCAGTACACACTTGTACCACAGTTTAACAACGCTTCTCAAAATATATACTGTGTATATATATATATATATATATACACACACACACCAATGAGCCATTACATTATGACCACCTATGTAATAACCTGTAGGACCTCCTTTAGCCGGCAAAACAGTGGCCACTCTGCGAAGCTTTGATTCAACGAGGTGGCGATAGGTCTCCAGGGTATGTTACCATAATGTCAACAGCAGATCCTCCAGTTCCTGTACATTGCGGGGTGGTGGTGATGTAGTATAAACCCGCTTTTTGACTGGGTTCATGTCAGGTGAATTTGGAGGCCAAGGCATTAGCAGAAATTCACCATCATGTTCCTTGAACCACTCCTTGACGATTCTGGCAGTGTGGCATGGCACATTATCCTGTTGGTAATGGCCATCACCGGCAAGGATGCTCAGACACCTGACAGATGTAAGGGATTGTGCTATTGGGATAATGGGGCCTAAAGTTTCCCAAGAAAACATCACCCACAGCATAACACCACCGCTGCCGGCCTGTATCTGACCAGCAGTGCCTCCAGGTGCCATAGCCTCTGTTGGTAATCAGTGTATCCACACTCAGCTGTCAATGTGATGCACCAGGAATCTTGATTCATCAGACCAGGCCACTTTCTTCCTATCATCCACGGTCCAATCTCGATGATCTCAGGCCCATTTCATGCGTTGTTGGTGATGGCATGCAGTTAGCATGGGGGACCTGGCTGGGTGGTCAGCTACGCAGGCCCATACACAGAAGGCTGTGATGAACTGTGTACTGTGGCACATTGCCCTGGTCACCACTGTTGTAGATTTGTCACACTGTGGCCCTGCAGTCACTGTGAACAATGCACAACAGTCTCCGCTCCCCTCTGGCATCATGGAGCTGCGGACTACACACGGCCGGACGACGGTTCGTCGTTTGGCCATCCGTGCGCCACTTTTGATACATACTTCAGCGGCACGTGAACAACCCATAAGGCGCGCTGTTTCCGAGATCAAAGTTCCGAGGCGCCATGCCATCACAATGTGTCCTTTATCAAACTGATAAATCGGCAGCTTTTCCCATTCTAACACTGAATGCTCTACTGACAGAAAGCCAGTCCTCCGGTGGTATATATACTGCTCTTTGAACTGCAGCTGTTGGCACCATTTGGTTGCCAGGTGTGCTCATTGCTATAGGCTAGGGGTAGTCATAATGTAATGGGCTCATATACACTGATTTATGTAACTCAGTGTGACTCTTTGTTTAGGCTATCATAGTTTTAGGCATGTCATTATTCATATTTTGGTGGATTTTCATTGATAATGTTGACAGTCTAGGTCTGATTTCATATTTGTAAAAAAATCAATTAAAAAAAAAAGAGTATTGAAAAGATGAAATACTCCAATGCACTCGTATAATAAAGATAAAAAGCCTTTAATTAACCTGGCTAAGTCATTAAAATCAGTGGCGGCTCGTGGGTTTTAAAATAGAGGAGACACACTAATTGTATTGGTCTGGGATCCCTGCCGGTTATTATTATTATAATTTGCTTAACCACTTTAAAATGACTTTTTGGTTGCTTTTAGTCAGAAAACGTAAAGAAAACGACATGCATACATTGTGAATTTTATTAACATTAAATCGTCCTCCTCCCATTTTCACCTCAAAATTATGGGGAAGCTGTGCCTCCCCCGACGAGCCGCCACTGATTCAAATTGTTAAAAGTATAGATCTACGAGTTTCAGCTACACAGCTTTCTTGAGGATACACATCAATTGTTCAAACAAGCCTTCTTAAACAATTAGTAAACAATCATCAAAGGCTGCGTTTACACTTGGCATTAACATGTGATCACCGTGATCTGATCAAGCAGATCGGATCATCAGTCAATCAGGACACGGCGTGTTTACACTTGGCAACATCAGCTGACTTCTCGATCTGGATAACCGATCGGGTCTGCATTTCCCGCGCAATATTTAAATAAGTCTGCGGTGCAAAGTCGACCTGAAGTGGTGGGTTTTCTTTTGAAAACTATTTTCAGTCGCGGGATATTTACAAATCAAAATAAATGTACGAGTCTCACTAGCGCTCTGTTCTTCTGACTGTTCGGGAGAGAGGGGGCGGCGTTTTGCGTGATGTCGACCTGCGAATGCAGACACGATGGCTGGATTGCGTTTACATTACACTGAGATCCGATCACAATGCGTCCTCGACTACCTCTGGACCAGGACACGCTGATCGGATAACATTCCGATCAGAAGCGTGTTTACACTTGTCTTTTCAATGTGTATCTGTACAACATCCGGATACAGGTCGCATGTTAATGTCAAGTGTAAACGCAGCCAAAGACAGCTGGTTGATCAGTGGGAGTGGCTAAGACTCCTCTTTGTACCAAGCATAACAATATTCAAAGAAGAATAATATATACTGTATATATACACACACACATACCCATACACACATATTATTGGAGTATGTTTTACAAGAAAAAATTGAAATGTTTTAATTAAAAAAAGATTTTTTTATACAAAAATGTTTGTTTTAATAAACCACTGAGAACCCTGATACTATCCTGCAATAAATGCAACGAGACTCTTCCTGCAAATGCTAAATAAAACTAAAAAGGGTAAACAAATTATAGATACTAATGATTTCACCAGTGTTTGATGTCAAACTGACTTGCACTCACCCCGGAAGATGCAGGGTGAAAGCGGAATCAGTCTGACATGTGATGTTCTGGAGTGCTGTGATAACTGAGCTCAATACCTTGTCTTGTGCCTTTCGTTAGATCTACCCAGACGAAGGACACTTCATTCACAACGAGGGGACACGGCAGCACCTCAGTCAATCGCTGGTCAACTTCTTTGAGGAGTGTTTCCGGCTTCCGGACCGAGTGTTCGAGGAGGCGCTAGAAGAGGAGAGCGAAGAGGAGGGTTAGTTCACCCATTCCATGATGTCCAAGCACAAAGCCAGCTCCTTTTGCCACCTAATATGCAACCCATAGATTTGAACCCTCCAGTTTTCAGTTCCCTCCCGGTGTCGCATGCTGACTCTGAGACTGCCCTGCCTCGTGCTCCTGCCTCAGTTCCCCTTCAGGTGCTCCTCACTATACATCAACCCTCGACAGACCGCGGCCGTGGCGCGGCAACCAGCTGGCGCCTCATCATCTCGCTCTCCCCAGCAGGCCAGTTATGAGCTTCTGAAGGTCTTAGGAGTCTCTGGTCTGTCCATCACGTTAACAAATGAGACGCTGCGATATTAACTGACCGCCAAGCGTGATGGCCTTTGAATCCCTAAGAGCTGTGGGACTTGCAGAGTTGAAACAGCAAGGTCAATCAGTGTTTGATTCAAATAGATATTTGGTGTTTTGGGCAAAGGGGGTTGTTGTCGGGAGAACGTTTCATTTGTGGTTCAAAAGGTCTTCTCATGTCCAATTGTGCTCGTGTCTGGTGTTGCAATGTAAAGTCGCACATGAAAACCATTCACTTGGATATCGATAAAACTTGTTTTCAGTGTTCAAGCGTGTCCGAGTCTTGGAAATCTTGTAGCCTCAAGTGTGTATTTAGATGGTGTTTATTCATTGCAGAAACTTCATCAAGCAGAAGGGGAGCAAAAACTATTCTCATTATTCTCGCAGACCATGACAGTTTTTACAAGACTGTTGATCCCACTTCTCAGCGTGTGTATCCTTGAAGTGATGGTCTGTCAGTGCTGAAGAAAGCGCTCTATGTTGATTTAGTCACTGTGCCTTATTACGGGGGCGAACAATCGTTTTCAAGGAGCCTCCTTGTGAATATCACCAGTCATTCAAGGCTTATGTTGGATTGACTAAAATCCTGTATCTAAAACGCTCTTGTTACATTGTCGATGACATCACGGAATGCATTATTGTCTGTAATAGCATTACGAAGACACTGTTATTTTCATTTGCGTCTTTGTGAGCCAGTGTTGTTTTAGCATCAACAAAAACAAACTCGCTCACATCCTGCTAATAGCGGTTTTCCATCTACTTTAAGGATCGAGTAATGGAGCATGAAATTAAAATGTATGATTTCAACATTACCTCAGCATTAAACTAAAGCCCCTCTGAGGCTTTACAGACACTTTGTAGAACATTTGTTAATTCATACCCAAAACAAATCTGTACATAAAACGTATATTACAGAAAGTAGGGTAGGAAACACTTATGTGTTAAAGGGATAGTTCACTCCGAAACAAAAATTCTGACATTGACTTAACCCTTATGTCTTTCCAAACCTGTATGACTGACTTTCTTCTGTAGAAAAAGAAAGAGGTGTTTAGCAGAATGCTCAAGCTGCTCTTTCAATACAGTGAGTGTCAATGGAGTCATTGAATGGAAACAAGCCTTCAGTGTTTCATGGAAGAAAGTACAGTTGGTCATACAGGTTTGCAATGAGGTTGAGTAAACGATGACAGAATACAATCCCTTTAATGCTCATGAAATACAGTACTGACATTACAGCAGTGGCATTTTCATTATTTAAGTCACATATGGTATGGTTATATGTTTTGCACAGTACTATATATGAACAGTCATTGGTTGTAACTTTTGCCTATAAAAGCACTTGAGGATGAACTATTTTATTTTGTTTGAATGAAATGTTCATGTTTAATCTTGATGCATTCATAGTGCATGTCGAAAACCCATTTGCAACTCAAAAGCTATTTTTTAAAAATGGTCAAATATATACATAGTATTTTTAATGGCTTGAATGTTCCGACCTGCATTTCATTTCCGGTAGTTTTGTGAGTGAGATCTCAGTCTCGTCTGCTTGATGTCTAAATGTTACTCAAATATCATTTAAGTCTCTGAATATGTGAGTGTTTCTTGTACATAAAGCATTTGAAGGTATTTTGTTCTCGCATGTCGAGCAGAGCTGCGGAAGTCACGGAGGTCACTACGATCTGAAATGAGCAATGAAACATCACATGGGACCAAGAGAATGATGGGATTGCTGTTTACTGACTCAGCAAGAACAGTCATATTGTGGCACCTCTCAGAATACAAACTATTTTATCATCACCTTTGTTATTTGTTTTCCTCACTTGGAGAAAAGAGGATGAATATGTAAGTAACCAAAATAAACGGAAAGCCTTCAATGTTGACGTCCTTCTTTCTTGTGAATTAAGTAAATGAGTGCATTTACATGCATGACCTTAAGATGACGACCTCTAAGGTTATGTAAACATTTTAGAAGGTGTTTCAATTTTATCTGGGAAAGATCATGAATGGTTTAAATAAAACCCAACTGGCACATCTACATTTTTGCCTGTGCTCCAGTCAGCTTTGCATATGACTTGTATCACTAGATCTGTCAGCTTCTTCAATAATACATATATGTTTTGAAATTAAAGGGATAGTTCACCAAAAAATTTTAATTGTCATCATTTATTCACCCCCATGTCATTCCAAACCTTTATGGCTTACTTTCTTTTTGCGCAACATAAAAGAAGATATTTGAAAAATGTTGGTAAGCAAACAGTTTTGGTTACTATTGACTTTTATGAGAGAAAAAACGTAAATGTCAAAAAACTAAATGTACAGTATAGCCTGAATGCACTGTAAGTCACTTTGGATAAAAGCGTCTGCTAAATGCATTAATTATTAAAAAACAAAACAGTGATAACTCGAAATTTGTGTTCGACAGAAGAAACAATGTCATACAAGTTTGGAATAACATTAAGGTGAGTAAATGATGACAGAATTATTACTTTTGTATGAACTATACTTTTAGAGGGAAAAGCTGTTTTTTAATTTTTATTGGTTTTATTCATTTATTTTCATTTTTATTCATTTTTTAAACCCTTAAAGCAATAAGCCATGCATAGCAACAACAGCAATATGATAGCAATGCTTAATAAATTGTTATATTGTCACCTAGTAATATTTTATTATGTAGTTGTAAGATGTCACAGTAATTTAGCAACTATCAGTATAAAATGAAAACATTTTGTGATAAAACATTTGCGAGACTGGGAAAAAGTAAGGCTAATTTATGGACTTGAGTAACATGAAATGGATTGAAACTATATCCCATTACATTACTGCCACCTTGTGTTCAAATTGACAAAGTGTGACCATAATGTTTGGGGTTTCTTGACAGACATCACCATCTAGTGGACATTTGCAGTTATTTCAGGTCACTGGACTCTCAGAAATGAGTCTTGTATTATAGCTTCTACTTCATCTGCAAGCTTGTTAAAGTCAGCCTGGAATATTTTGACACTGAAGGGCTTTTAAGACAGCCGGAGCAAACTTCCCGTGGTGTGCAGTGGAGCATATCACAAGCGGGCAGGTTTTGTCATGTATACGATCGCCACCTACTTTACCAACCGCTGTGTGAGTGTCCATTATGTAGCCTGTTGTTGCATGCACCTCCCTTATGGCCCTCATACAGTCATCTTCTGAGCACCAACCAGCTTGAACTTCGAGATTTATCTTCTGCCGTAAAGTCTCTGATACTTTTAAAAAAATGATCTCTTTCTAGATTCAAAAACAGATCTCTGACCAGACTCCCATCCCCACCGGATACATGATGGATGAACCTCTCAAGGTTGGAGGAATTCAGGATATCAATGGCAGGAGAGTTTGAAACCAGCAGCTTCCTGTTGTGGAGATCATACTCTCCACTAGCAATGAAGTCGGATATGATGCAGTTATGATTGGATGCACAGATCACCTTCCGTATGGGGATTCCCATTTGTTTGGCATACAGGGCTGACATGGTGTTGCCAAAGTTTCCAGTAGGGATGCACACGTCAATGGGGTCTCCAAACGTCAATGTGCAATTTCTAAGCAGGTCTATATACACCGAGCAGTGATAGACCACCCGAGGAAGCAGTCGAGCCCAGTTTATCGAGTTTGCTGTGCTTAGAACCGTGGCATATTCCACAGCTAGATGTCCCATCAAGCTTGAGTCCCCGAACATTCATTTATTGCTCCTCTGGCAGAAGTCAAAGTCGGACAGGACGCTGATGGACTTGGCATTGCCCTCTTGAAATCCTGTCATCTGTAGCTTCTGAATCTCACTCACTCCTTTCTCAGGAAAGAACACAAGCACACCAGTCCTCTCATGGTCACTCTCTTTAAGTTTCTGGAAGCCATTCAGCACCGCGCTTCCTGTATCTCCAGATGTGGCCACTAGAATAAGGTAGTTGCACATCTGTGGAAGGCAGTGGGCGAACAGCTGAGGCATTAACTGCAGTGCCAGGTCTTTAAAAGAAGCAGTGGGGCCGTGAAAGAGTTCTAGAATGTACTGATGATCAGTGAGGTGCTTTAAAGGTACAACTGATTGATTGGCGAAATTCTGGCCATAGGCGCGATGCACCATCGTGCTCAATTCTACAGGAGACACATCCATAGGATGGATACAGTTTTCCAGTATGGCCACTGCTCTCATGGCATATGGCATGCTGGATATTCTCAACCATTCAGTAGGTTCCAGTTTGGAAAATCCTTTCTTTGGTATGTAAAGCCCTCCATCTGGTGCAAGACCCTCTATGACAACATCACTGAAGAACTTGGGGTCACTTGACATTTGGCTCCTTGTTGAAATGAACATATCTGATTCTAAATCCTCATATCTACCCAGAGTCCTCAGGACTTTATCTGCCACATCCTCCAAGGAGTCTCCTGTCCCACAAAGGACTCGCGCATCCAGCCATTTCTCATAAAACTGTTTCCTGTACTGTAATATCTCTCTCATAGAAACACCAGCATCCTGACCCACAATCCTATTCACCTTCATTCGAGAGAGTCTCTGCATGATATCTTCTGTGTCCACATCCAGATATAAGACCAGTCCAGATCGCTTCAAATGCTGCATGGCATCTGGATGCAGTGGATTGGAGCCAGTCATTGAGATAACACTCCCTGTAGCAGTGAAGTTACACACCGCTTTACCTTCTTCTTCAATGAAACCATCTCCACCAATCTCAGATAGCTTGTCTGCCACACTCATTCCCCATGTCTTTTCGAGAACATCGTCATCTATATCAATAACAGGCATCCTTAGTCTCTGTCCCACAATCTGTCCTACACAGCTTTTCCCTGCTCCAGGAGGACCCATCAGGAGAATGTTTCTCTCGTGAGGTTTAAAGATTTGATTTGATAGCCGTGCTGTAGTGAAGTATGAAGAACCAAACTGAGCAAATAGCATGTGGGTCCTCGGCTTTCTCACTTTAGCCAACAGCTGACCGAAAGTTGCAGGGATCATCTTGGAAAAAAATATCAGATAATCTGGGAGGCAGAAAATATGTTACATAATTAAAAACATGCTAGTAGATCTAATAATATAGAGAGCATTTGCTAAAATACAGAATGTATAAATCTATTACTTTTATTCTGATTTAATCTATGTAATATGACTGATTTGTTTTAACACTTAGGCCCTTCCCCAAATAGCACACCCAAGCCCTCGCGGGAGAGCCGCAAAGGGGGCACTTGTGAGCACCCTTCTGAAACCTAAAATTACAAATGTGACACCCTGCAACAGGGTCCCCAGCCCTGCTCCTGTAAAGCTACTGTCCTGCAGAGTTCATGACAGTAGCTTTCCAACCCCAATCAAACACACCTGAACCAGCTAATCAAGGTCTTCAGGGTTACTTGATAATGTTGGAGCAGGGTTGGAACTAAAGTCAGCAGAAGGGTAGATCTCCAGGAGCAGCTTGGAGAACTCTGTCCTGCAGTCTTGTGGGTTTAACCGACATACGCATGCATCGCAAGTGCACATGAAATGTGCCATTTAGGACAGGATCGACAGATATTTTCTTCCGCATTGTGACGTACATTAGAGTGTAACAAATCATAGAAAATAAAAAATGTAGGGCAGGGACTTGGTTCCTAACACTCATTGAATTCTGAGGAGGTAGGCAGTGCATTTAAAATTGGACGCAGATTAATGCAAGCTTTAAGGTTTAAGCAGATTAAATTGGGAGAACCTGACATACATCACCAGAGAGAATTAATTGGACTGTCTGTCGATTAATTGGAAGATCAAGATATTTTGATTAACAATTACAAGGTAAAAGAAAGAAAGAAAGTATATGCATGGATGAATCATTTGCCACAAGAAATATGCATTTAGAAAATAGATGAATTTTCATTTAATGAGGACTTTAGGGACTGATGTGATGTGCATTTTAAATATATCTACTCACGTGAATTCACATGACATGTAGATTTTAGTGTAATCAAAGAAAAAAAAGCGAATAATATTTGTTTTCATTATTTACATGGACAGCAAAAAGTTTTTTATCAATTTCAAATCGAAATGTACATTAAATACAGTATCCACTAGCTGTACAAAGGTAAAAATGAATCATTTAAATGTATGTCAATTTTATAATTGGAATATTCAAAAATGACATTTACCTTAAAATGCAAACTGTCTATCTGCAGAACATCAGGTTTGAACCTTCATGCTTTTTTTTATAGGATTTCGGAAAGGATTTTCTGAATAGATGTACACAAATATGTGGCAAATGTAGAGTTTAAAAAGTAAGATTGACCTAAAACTCAGCATTTATCTGACTACTATAGTTCTCTCACTTTCACATGCGCTCATGTCACACACGGTGTGTGCCATGCGCGTCAGTACGGTGTAGGCGCGTTTCCATTACCCTTCAAATTGCGCAAATTGAAATTGCGAATTGAAAATACGCCTAATGGAAACGCGTCAATTTCGCAAAAACGCCCATATATCGCAAAAAAGTTTTTACGCTCGCATGAGGTGGTTTTTCAGGCAATGCGAAAAAGGAATAATTCGCAAAACTGCAATGGAAACGGCTTTTTCGCATTTACAGGTCACATGGCGTATGTAAAAAGTCATATGATCATTCTTCAATGTACTATAACCTCCAAGAAACACTTCATAAGTGGCCGCGCTCCAGTATAAGGGGCTTTCCCTACCATTAATGCTTAGACAATTTACACTGCACACGTCTGCGGTGCAGTGTGGCTCTGATACGGTCACTGAAGCTGATTGCGGCCACGCAATGCTTGTGTTTATGTTTTTATACAGTCTATGGTTTATTCCAGCCGTGCCACGCACGTTTCTGAAGCGGCTCTCTTTGCTGCTTCTGTAAAGATACACGCATAAACCTCCTTTGAATGAATATAGCCAAAATCCCGCCAAAATCCGTTGCCATGACTTATCGCGAGAGGCAAAAGGTTACGTTTAAGTCTCATAACATTGGTTAATGGAAACGCCGTCATTTCGCAATACTTTTGTATCGACATTTATAAAATATCGCCAAAGTTTTGCGCAAATCTGTAATGGAAACGCGCCTGTTGAAAGGACATTTGCCGTTTACGTGCTGAGCAGTAAACGGCTCTCATGGGCCAATATGCTCAACTTCAAATAATACAAATAAAAGAAATATTTAGCATTGCGTGTGGAATATAGTGTTGTGTTTAAAGTTCGTTATTTACACTTAACTGAAATTATGAAACATTTGACTAACACGGAAGAAAATAAAACGAGGAAAAGTGTTTAATGTTGCTTGGCAGTGGTTGTCATAGAGACGGTTGTTAACAACACCGATTCAATCGGCCATTACGCTAATAAAACACTACTGTCTTGCAAACAGAGGGAACTTTTTTCTTGTTTTCCTGTCATTTTTGTATCTATCAGCCATCATGAGCGACACAATATATCCTCCAGAGAGCATCTATACTCTTATTCCCAGAGAGGAAGAGAAACCCATAAAAGCACCCAGGTACAGTTTCAGACTGATTCAAGATCATATAATATTGCTATAATATTGGGCCACAGTAAGCTAGTGATCTCTCTCTTTTACTAATTTCATATTTTAGAAAGTAGTGTATTATATACAGTATATATATATAGAGAGAGAGAGAGAGAGAGAACGCTAATAAAACACTACTGTCTTGCAAACAGAGGGAACTTTTTTCTTGTTTTCCTGTCATTTTTGTATCTATCAGCCATCATGAGCGACACAATATATCCTCCAGAGAGCATCTATACTCTTATTCCCAGAGAGGAAGAGAAACCCATAAAAGCACCCAGGTACAGTTTCAGACGGATTCAAGATCATATAATATTGGGCCACAGTAAGCTAGTGATCTCTCTCTTTTACTAATTTCATATTTTAGAAAGTAGTGTATTATATACAGTATATATATATAGAGAGAGAGAGAGAGAGAGAGAGAGAGAGAGCTCATTCTTTGCCAGGTTGCAGTT